GACTCTTTCGAACTCTTTTTCCCACACCAGTGTTGGTGCTGTAGTGACACCCCGAACGTTTCTGGGCTCCTACTAAAACTTGAGTTTCATATCAGCTGTATAGATGTTAGTATGAGGAACGGAAATCGTGTCTTACCTTTGCAAGGACTATTTATTGTCTGTACAGTACAAGCTTAGGATTTTTAACAAACGACAATGTCTCGTCTTCTTTTCTGAATGAATGGATGGATGATGAATCGATTTAGCCGAACAGGCCAACACACACTGATGCATTTGATATAAGAAATATCATAATTCTAGGTTTTGTTGATCTACAATACCTTGAGTATTATATAACACATTAATAAAATGATAAAGAAATAAAAATGTATATATTTGATCAAATCTAGGACAGGTCTGCGAAGTTCACATTTTATGTGCCTATTTTTGGAAATATTTGTGGGATCTACAGAAAGGATGTATATTATTTATATATTTATAAGTTGTATTAAACAGTTCCAGACCGTATTTTCATATTAGACAAAATATGGACTATTCAAGCATTTTTTTTCAGCAAGGATGCATAAAATTAATCAAAAGTGACATTAAAGACATTCTTTTGAACGTTCTATTCATCTGTGAATCCTGAAAAATAAAAATGTATCACAGTTTCCGCAAAAAAATTCAGCAGCACAACTGTTTTCAACATTGCTAATAATGTAGAAATGTTTCTTGAGCTGCCAAGCAGCATATTAGAATGATTTCTGAAGATCATGTGACACTGAAGACTGGAGTAATGATGCTGAAAATACAGCTGCGCATCACAGAAATAAATTACAGCTTAACAGATATTCAAATGGAAAGCAGCAATTTTAAATTGTAATAATATTTCACAATATTACTGTATTTTTGATCAAATAACTGCAGCCTAGTGAGCAAAAAAGACTTCTTCCTAAAATATTTTAAAATCTTACGGACCCCAAAGTTTTCTATAGTAAATAAACACAAACGGTCCAGAGGATGTGTAAAACTGGATGATATGCATTAGCATTCTGTGTGAGCCTCGTCATGAGCAGCTTGTGTTGTCAACAAAACCGGAACAGATCATTAATAAAACATCAGGTGGAAAGCAGGTGATCTTCTTTCCAGTGACCCGCTGCATGAGTGTCTGTTGTCCAGTGACTGTCAGGAGCTCATTCTTGTTTTTTTCGCCTCGCAGGCGGCGATACGAAAAGAGCTGAATGAGTTCAAGAGCAACGAAATGGAGGTTCATGCATCAAGCAAACACCTGACAAGGTCAGTGTGTGTTTCCATTTTTTCTTCGTGTATTTATACATGGCCTGTTTCTATATATTGTTCCGTGTTTGCATAACTGTTCACCACAAAAACGTCATCGCATCTACGATAGATGACTTCTCGAAGGACACAAGAAGTACAGTAGATCAAAATGGGAGGTTGTTCTAAATATAGCCATATCTCCACTGTCCTGAAAGTGCAGAATTTGCAGAATAAGCACACCTAAGCGCTTGCCCACATGCATGACAAATTCTTGCTCACATTCAGCTTACGTTTGTTTTACGTTAGACCTCATTTCTGTGGGCACAAATAGCTGAACAAGGTCCCAGTCCTGTGCTGCACAGAGCTCTGTCTGGAACACACACACACACACACACACACCTCTCTTCTATTAATACACATTTGATGGATGATAGTTGGCTTTTTGGGTGTCTTACAGGTGTCTCCTCGCTTTGCATTGCAGGTTCCACCGACCATAGCAAGGTTTCTTCCGTGAAGAATATGCTAACGGTATCTCTAAGACCTCAGGAGGCTGTCCATGGCTGCTCCATGAGGGCCTGATATTTGGGCGCTAGTGAACCTTGGAGGCTATGTCTCTGGAGCTTCAGCCTGAAGAAGCTAAAACCCTCCAAACTCCACTCAGTCCAGCTACAAGTCTGTAGATTATTGAACCTTTATTCTTTTTCAGGAGACTCTAATGGGACGGTGGAAGACTGTTTGAAAAAAAAAAAAGACATTGACTTTTTCGTTTTTTTGTAATGGACTGTTTTAACCGGTCGCCTTTTG